CACTGCTGTTGAAAGCCCGCTGGGGGATCAGTTACGGGTCAGTTCCAACTTGACAACACATGACAACAACGACTCCTGAAGCATGGCAGGGAAAGGAGAGCTGGGATGACAGGACGAGAGCACCCCCTGTACCCTCACACACACACTCCAGGAGTCTTTTAGCTATGAATACAAAATGACTTGCTCCTTCTCACAGAGTTCCCATGTACCCACACATCTGATTTAAAGACATTTATTTTGCAAGTGAGCTGTTTACCTTTACCTTGTTGTGGTGCTCAAGTATTCTATCTAGAAGTTCCTTATCTGACATATAATTACCAAATATTTTTTCCCAGTCTGTGGCTTCCCTTTTTACCCTGTTGGAGAAGGTTTTGAATGTGCATAAGGATTTTATTCTTAGACGTTCCCATTCATCTATTTTATCTTCTCCTGATTGTAAGTTTTTTAGGATACTTGGAAGACTGTTCATGTTGTGGATTAGGATGTCTAGAGTTCTTCCAAGCTTTTCTCTAGTGAAGTTTATAGTCCTTGGTTTTAGTGCTAGGTCCTTGATCCATTTTGAGTTGTTTTTTTGTGTATGGTGTGAGGTGTGGGTCTTGTTTGAGTTTTCTGCAGATGGTTTTCCAATTTTGCCAACACCATTTGTTACAAAGGCTGTTGTTTTCCCACTTAACTGATTTCAGTTCACCAGAAGTAGATGGGCTGATTTCTGGATTCTCAATTCTATTCCTTTGATCTATGTGTTTGTCATTGTACCAGTATCATGCAAGATATGAATAGACACTTCACCAAAGAAGACATTCAGATGGCAAATAAACACATGAATGTTCAAAATCCCTAGCGCTAAGATGCAAATCAAAACAATTATGAGATATCATCTCACCCCAGTGAGAACAGAAAAATTCAACAGAGCAGTAAAATGCTGGTGAGGTTGTGGAGAAACTGGAACCCTTATTTACTGTTGGTGGGAGTGTAAAATGGTGCAACCACTACGGAAAGCAGTACGGTGCTTTCTCAAAAAGTTGGAAATACGAATAAGCAAAGCACTCCTTAAAAATAGAAAAAAGGTAAGAGGCATCTCACTCGCTGATTTAAAATCCTACTACACTGCCATGGTAATCAAGAGAGCATGGTACTGGTACAATGAGAGACACATAGATCAATGGACTAGAAACTGAGAACCCGGAAATCAGCCCATCTGTTTATGGTCAACTGATTTTTGACAAGGAGATGAAATCAGTTAGGTGGGGAAATGACAGCCTTTTTAACATACGGTGTTGGCAAAATTGGAAAACTATCTGCAGAAGAATTAAACAAGATCCCCACCTCACTCCATATACAAAAACCAACTCAAGGTGGATCATAGACCTAGGACTGAAACCAAGGACTGTAAACTTCATTCAAGAAAAGCTTGGAAGAACTTTAGTAGTCCTAATCCACAACATAAAGAGTCTTCCAAGTATTCTGAAAAATCTACAACCAGGAGAAGATAAAATAGATGAATGGGACCTTCTAAGAATCAAATCCCTATGCGCATCCAGAAACTTCTGTAACAGGGTATAAAGGGAAGCGACAGACTGGGAAAAAGTGTTTGGTAATGACATGTCAGATAAGGGACTTATATCTAGAATTTATAAAATACTTGAGCACCACAACAAGATAAAGGTAAATCATCCAATTGAAAAGTGGGCACAGGATATGAACAGACACTTCACCAAGGAAGACATTCAGATGGCCAACAAACACATGAAGAAATGTTCAAAATCCCTAGCTCTGAGAGAGATGCAAATCAAGACAACCATGAGATACCATCTCACCTCAGTAAGAATAGCAAAATTTAACAGAACAGCAAGCAACAAATGCTGGCGAGGTTGTGGAGAGACTGGAACCCTTATTCACTGTTAGTGGGAGTGTAAAATGGTGCAACCACTATGGAAAGTGATGTGGCACTTTCTCAAAAAGTTGCAAATAAAGATCCATTTGGCCCAGCAATTCCAGTACTAGTAATATACCCTAAAGAGACCATAAATGGCACCCAAGTAGATATATGCATACCCATGTTTATTGCAGCTTTGTTTACAATAGCAAGGAGTTGGAAACAACCTAAATGCCCATTAACAAACGAATGGGTAGAGAAGCTGTGGTTTATTCGCACAATGAAATATTATGCTGCATTGAAAAACAAGGAACTCATGCAATATTATTCAAAATGGGTGACCCTGGAGGACATTATGCTGAGTGAGGTATCTCAGTCACAAAGGAACAAATGCTATATGGTGCCACTGTTGTAGAATGAGGCTGACATTGAGGTGGGGGTAAGACTGAGAAAAACTGGATGAAATAAGTTTATGGCATTGAAGTCTGGGGGAGAGAATAGTTTAAAAGTATTATATTTTAGGGCATTATGTTTATCGTAGGAGTATGCAATGAGGGTTGCAGAGTGGATTATATTTGGGGCTGGGGGTGTGGTTGGGGGATGTGTGTGTGTGTGGGGGTGGATTGTGTACCAATGAGGGAGTTTTTCTTTTGCTTTTCCAGGAGAGGAGCAAACAGGGGAATGGGGGGAGTGGGGAGAAAGGTGCAACAATGAATGAATGGAATTCCAAAATCTCTGTAGATGTTCATGGAAATGAAAAATAAATAGATAAATAAATAAATAATTTTTTTTTAAAAAAGTTGGAAATAGAAATACCATTTGATCCAGCAAATCTACTACTGGGTATGTGCTCTACAGAAACCAGAACTGTCCCCCAAGCAGATATATTCACACCCATATTTATCATTGCTTTGTTCACAGTAGCAAAGAGTTGGGGGAAAATCCAAGATCCCATCAACAAATGAATGGATAGAGAAGCTCTGGTATATTCATACAATAGAATATTATGCAGCACTGAAAAACAAAGAATTAATGAACTATTGTACAAAATGAGTGACCATGGAGGACATTATGCTGAGTGAAATATCGCTGTCACAAATACTGCATAATACCACTATTATAAAACAGGATTTATATGGGGGTTGGGGAAAACTAGGAATAGAGGGGATAAATAATGTGCATGGCAATGAAACAGATGAGGGAGAGAACTGTATAAAAGGAATATATGATTAGGTGTTATTGGCATGACAAGAGCCCAGAAGAAGAGCTGCATAGTAAAGTGGTCTGGAGGGGAGGGGGGCGCTGTATAACAATGAAAGAACTTTTTTTCCCAAAGAAAAAAGCAAACTGGGGGGGAGGGACAAGGAGAAAAATGTACAACAATGAGTGAATGGAAATCCAAGTTCTTTATAAACTTTCATTAAAATATCAATTTTTTTAAAAAGGCATCTTAGAAACAGATCTTTTTTTGCAACCCAAGGAGTCTCTGTACCTACAAGTAATACCACCAGCTCCTTCCTGAAGTCTTTACTGGACCCATCTATGCCTTTCTTTGAAGGCTTTAAATGTATTATGTCATTTTCTCTTCCTCACCTTTAGTCAAGTGGCACATGTCTGTACAAGTGAATAAACCAAGGTGTGTCACTCAATGCCTGGGAGAGGTGGAGAGCAACGACTCTGGACCCAGGCAGCCTGGGGCACAAATATGACTCAGTCACTTCCTTTCTCTGTGACACGGCAACAGTTACTGTACCATTCAGGACCTTAGCTGTTTACCTGAAAAGGGTAACAATACTGCCTTGTCAGGTTTTGGGAGGAGCATATTGACATAAAAAACTTACAGAGTTCCTGGTTCATGAAGGGGGGGAAATATACCCCATTTGTGTTGAGTTGATCCTAATTCACAGTGACCCTATGGGATACAGCAGAACTGCCGTACAAGGGTCTTAAGGCTGTAAAGCTTTACAGAAACAATCTTGTTCCTGGACTGGCCGATGGGATTGAACTGCTGACCAATCTATTCACAGCTGAATGGTTTACCACTACACCACCAGTGCTCACAAACCTTATCAAATCAAACCTACTGAGTCAAGTTGGCTCCTCGTCACTGCAGCCCTCCACTGGGTTTCTGTTAATAGATAGACTGTCTTGTCTTTCTCCTTCAGAGTGGTACGTAACGCAAACTGTCAATCTCTCAGTTAGTAGTAGTCCAGCACATGACCCATGACCCCACCATTGTTCCTACCAGAGCTCACTTAAAGGCAAACAATCAAAAAGAAAGCCACAACCCTAGGCTGATTCTGACCCATGGTGACCCCCCACTGGGTTCCCAAGGCTCTGAGTCATTAGGCTTTAAGTGGGAGGCTGTGCCCTATGTTTCTCCTGTGTACTGACTGGTGGTTCGAACCGCCAACCTTTCAATCAGCAGCTGAACATGTAACCCACAGTACCCCCAGACTTATTCTAGCAATCATAGTAGGTACTAAGGAAGGGCTAAGTAAAAGTAAAACCTTAGCTGAGGAAAACCTTATAAAAACTAAGTTTCCTTGTTTTAATATCTATCTTACTCATGTAATCTTCTGAGTAAGCCAGGCTTCTTGGGAGAGGCATCTAAACGTGCAGATGTGATCACTCTGACAGTAACACACTTCTCATCACAAATGAATCAATAAATCTATAAAATCTAGATTCTAAGCCAACAAGACGGAGGCCCAGGCCTTCACACACTTTATGAAGTTGCTTTGTGATCTTCTAGCCATCTTCTCCCAGCAATGGCACCACTTTTTATCCAAGTCTGTGTATAAGGTGACAATGAGGGAGAAGCAAGCACCTCGGCCTAACAAAGTTTTTCTCTTATCAGTTGAAATTGGTGAAAAGTTACAGGTAGAAGGCCATCAAGAGAAAAGAGAATGCATTGCCAACCAGCTCCCCTTGCACCTCTCTGCCCCACACACTGCTTCAGAGCTAGAGATCTGCTTGGGCAGGTTTCACTTGAAAGAGAAAGTGCAATGTCTCACCTCACAAAGGGCCTTCAGTCTTCCCTGGAGGGGCAGAGCTAAGGGACAAAAGCCATAAGCAGCCCACAACACATTAGGGCCCCTCTCCAGCAACTTCCCCGAGTTACCTTGCCCTGATGATCATGTTTCATTTCCCAGCCCCTCGGCAGCTCCAGCTGTTTGTTCGCAAACATGTTGAGGAATCCTACAAGGTCCCGGTTGTGCTGGTAACGTTCAAAGTGGTGGGTGTCCCGCCGGACTTTGGTGATCATGTGCTTCAAACACGTGTTATTTGTAAACATGCGGTAGGCACTCTGCAGAGAAGGGTGGAGAACCAAGGTTAACCTGTGAGTGACACACAAGAGCACATTACAGACCGTATGCTCGTGTCTGGTCTTCTGAGGGGCATACATTCCATGTTATGTAACAGGAGGTTTGTTCAGACCCTAGAGCAATGAGCTTTTATTCAGTTTCATAAATGTTTGAAGTAGGGGCTCCTTGAGGGACTACCAGGAAGAGAAATGACTACCTGGAAAAAGAAATTAACATCCGTTAACATGTCACAGAGGTCTGAGGGGTGTTGTTCTCCAAACATAACCTGAACTATCATATTGACTGACCACCATTGTACATACACTTTTTGTGCCATATCTTCTGGTACTTGTTCCCTATCAAATTAAAAGAAAAGAAGTAGTAAAACTACCTGGAATCACATCAACCTGAGTTTTCTGATTATAAAAAGTTTTGAGGTCCTTGGTTCTTTTATACAAGAGAACTGGATTCAATTCCCAGTGTACAGCCACCATCTATTTGTAAAGGTGGCGAATGTGTTGCTATGATGTTAAACAGGTTTCAGAGACTCCCTTAGGGTGGAGATTAACCAGGAAGAAAGCCTGGGGATACACTTTTGCAGACCAGCCAAGGAAAACGCTATGGATCACCATGATCTGATTCTTAAGTGTTGACAGGAATGCTGCAGAACCGGCCCCCTTCTGTCTCCACTAAACAAAGGTATTCACAGCCATTCCATGACAGCTGACAACAATAGCAACTCCAAGTTGACAGCCTGAATGAAAGGAAATTTCATCAACCGTGGCTATGGTGAGGTCCAAAGTGAGCACACAGGTCTGTGCAGATGCTTTTGGCAGTTGTAAGGTGCCGCTGGGTCAAATACAACTCACAGCAACCATGAACAGCCAACCTGAGCCCTGCCCTATCCCGTGCCATTCTCAACATCTCTGACACGCTGCAACTCAAGGCTGAAGTCACTGTGTCGATCCATCTCACTGGAGATCTTCTTCCTCTCCTCTGATCATCCATCTTTCTAAGCATGACGTCCCTTTCCAAGGAATAGCCTCACCTAGCTAATGTCTAAAGCATGAAAGATAAAGCTTCTCCATCCTTGTCTCTAAGGAGCACTCTGGCTTACTTTTTCTAAGACATACTTGGTTTTTGAGCAGCCCATGGGATATTTAGTACTTTCAGAGAACAAGAAAATGAGACAGCAACACAATGAAATCTAAGAAGGAGCAAGAGGTTGTCAGAAACAAATTTTAGCCGACAGGTTAGCCTGCATGTGACCTTAAGACTGAAGTATAATTATTAAGAAGTGTGTGCTTTCCTAAGCAAGAGACCAACCGTTTTCAGCAGTTCAAATATACCTGCTGCTCTTTGAGAGAAGTACAAACAGTCTTTTCTCCTGAAAAAATCAATGGAAATTTGATACAGGGGTGCTATGAAAAGTTAGCATTGGTAACCAAATTTATTCAGAAATTATCTTTGGAGGTACTATATTTATTTTATTAAACATTTATTTTCTCAGACTATTTGAACTTCTGTTTTAAACATTTATTTTCTCAGACTATTTGAACTTCTGTTTTAAACATTTATTTTCTCAGAATAACGTTTATTACTTCTGATCATTATTTCTAGCTTTAATTATTGGAAGAAAGTGCTAAGGAATTTAAACCTAGACTCTAGTTTTCTCAAATGAAAAATGAAGGCAAAGCACTTGAGCTGTCACATCTGGAAGTAGGTTTAAATATTTAGGTTTTACAGGTGTCATACAAAATGACTTATTTTTATTTACAGATAGATTTAAAAGAAAGAATACTCTGTAATATGTTAAATATTGAATTATAATTAAGGTACTTAAACGATGTTACTTTTTACAGAAAACATTCAAGAATATTTTAGTAGTTAGTGTGCTGTTATCCTTGTCACAACTGTTTTTCAATTTTTAAATAATTGATAATTTTCAATATGATTCACTACAAATGCATTAAAATTGTGTCGTTTTTACTATTGCGAATAATGCTTAATTAAACAATTTTATCTGTTAAATAAATAAAAATTTTTAAAAAGTCTGTGTGCTTTCTTCACAGGACCCTACACTGTTGACACAATTCACATAAGCCATTCCCAGAATATAGGTCTGAGACCACACTGGTTTATGAGGCAATAGTAATGAGTCTTCAAATTGTATTCCCTAATAATGTATCTTTGTGGTAAATTATTATGGGATAATTCTGTGGGAGAAATCATTACATTAACTGTTGCTCTATATGATTAAACCTTTTGGCCCCGTTCACTTGCCTGCCCCACCAATTAAACTAAGTAAATGGGCCACTTTCTGATTCTTTATTTAGAGCACCAGAAGTGCTCCTCAGTCTGGAGGAGAAAAGCAGCCCTTCATCAAGGAAAGGACTCATGGCAATTAGGTCCCAGCCTCAGGCTTCAACTCATCCTAAGCAATTTCCCAAGGTTGGACAATTTTGAAGCACAGAAGTCTTCAAGTTGGTCCCATAATTAATTATCCCCTTTCATCTTCTTCTTTGCCCACAATGAGACATGTAATGTAGTGCCAAGTTCAACTGCTCTTTAAAAAATCATATATGCAAGTAAATTAAGTGCAAGAGAGATTCTCCTCATTAGTAACTATCAAACAACTTTTGGAATCAAAGTCTTTCAAGTTTGAATAATATAGAAAGGGTTGTTAGGATCTATATCTAAAATGCTTAAAGCAAACAGGAACAATCTTCCAGAGAGCTTCCTTACATAAAGAAAAACAATTTTGAATATTCAAAATATATAGTTCAGGAAGGATATCTATTCTCTAGTTCATACGGAAATATGATGAGGGTTCTAGTTCCAGCTCTGATACTCAAGGGCCAAGACAGAGGCAGTTACCTAAGCTAAATTGGCTCAACTGTAAAGATGGGATAAGATCAGCTTTCCCGCTTCCTTCACAGGAGCTGAAGACTCAAATCCCATGAGACAAAGGGTGAGAAAGTACTTTGAAGAGTTAAAAAATAATGATAAAAACACCATGTATTAATAGAAGTAAAAGATTATATAGAAGTGTAATGTTGGAGCAAATGAATGCTGTTTTTTGTTGTACTGAGACAATCCTTTTTCATTCCTGACTTACAATGCCCTCACTCGACAGAACAGCATAAGCATTCCTAAGCTGTAAACTTTACCAGGCCTTTTCTCCTATGGACCAAATAGGCTAAACCACTGACCTCTCTTAACCAACCAAAGTACTTAACCACTGTGTCACCAGGGCCCCTTAAGAGAATATATACCAGTAACAAATAATAAAATTGTTTTCTACTTTTAATCTTTGAAGATGGTATGCAAGATTCTCAGTCTTTATTAACTAAAGAAAGGTTTCAAGTGCATGGATTTTGAGCATGATGGAGACCAATGAGCTTGGGCGTGATGAAGATCTTCCTGTGAGCACGATACAGCAGAGGGCAAGGTTCAGATCTATGGTTCTAGTCCCTACGAGTCCTAGAGGATTCAAGGGCACAAAGGAAGGTCTCATAACCATTCACTACTTTGTGATAAGCCCTTTGGTGAGGCCCAAGGATACACAGATGAACTAAGCAAAGATGCTCAAAAAGATGCAAAGGAAAGTTATGGATGGAGATGGGAAGGGGTAGGTTCAATGGAGGGAAAATATGGGGGTGGGGGGAGGAATAGACTACCATGCGTGGAGATCTTGAAACAAACTGAGACAGACTTGCAGACAGAGCTAAGAAGGAGCATGGTCTCAAAAGTGGAGAAACTCAAGATTAGAGTGAATGAGGAATTTCATCTTCATGGAAGGTGGCATAGGTAGATTTTTTAAGGAAAGAGTTTGCATGGACAAAATTAATAGTTAAGAGAAATATCTCTCTATTTTCTCTGGAGTTGAGTGACTCAAACTGGGGAGGATCATCTTCTGTGTTTGTATTTTGGTCTCAGAGAAAAAGAAACAATAAATGGGTTCAGGTATACCAGAGATAGTGAGGTTGGCACAAGGACAGGATTCAGATCTGTTGTTCGTAGGCTTGCTATGAGTCATCCTCAACTCGATGGCACTTACTAACGACAACAACAGAAATAATAACCAAATCCTAACTTATTATGGGAAATGGCTTTGGAAGAAATTTTCTCACAACCAGAAGAGGGCAGTAGAAATTATCTTAAAACAACCATAATGCAAAAAAATAAAAAAATAAAACATTTTCCAAGGTTTTTTTTAACAGCAATGATAACCATATGCCCACCAATTCTGTTCTTTTCAGTAAAGATGATTAGGTAGACTGACTGCTATTAAAGGATATCTCTTTTTCATGACTATCGTTCAATACAAACTGACATCCTCAAATAATGAAAATAAAATGAAAGCTTTTAAAGAAAATATAGCCTTTTATATGTTGGAATTTTTCAATAATATACACAGGAAGCATTTATAGATTCAAATACTCAAAACAAAATAAAAAAAGTTTATAAAGTAGCTCTTAAAATACTAAGGCCAAAGAAAAGAATTTTATTTTGTAACATTTTAATAAATGTAGGAAAAAGAAATTCCAGTAATTGAAGCTCTCTAAAAAAAAGTTACTTTCTCCCTAAATTCTTACCTTGTGACCACTAGCAAGAAAAATTTACTTACTTAATTTCTGTCATAAATAAATCAAGGAGGTTGTGCTGCTAACCCAAGACTTCTTGACTCAAAACAGTTTTTCTACACTAGTCAATTTACCGGAGAAAGATGGGCAATCTCCTTCTGATTTGATTTACAGTCTCTGAATTCAATCGAGGGTTGTTAGAAACTGGACCTGACTCAATGCTTGTGAGGTGGTCTGTTTTGTTGTTTTTAAAATAAAAATTAAAATCTTCTAGAAGGCATGGGACTCTGGTAGCCTAACCAGAAGACACTGTGCTGCAATACCAAAGGCCGGTGGTTCAAATCTACCAGCTGCTCCATGGGAGAAAGGTGGCCAATTTTCCTATCAGCTGGTTTACTGCTTCTGAACCAGCCGCC